ACAAAAACAGATATTCAACTTTAGAGAGTTGACTGGCTTCCTCTCTTCAGAAATTCGGAGCTCATGTGGCACTGGGGTCTAGCAGGTACCTCTACTAGACAACTCATCCTGAAAGGAACCCCAGACACTATTAATTCTATTTTGGTATGCCACAATGCCATCTTGTGAAAGATAAGGGTAATATCTGACATTAGCCTCATCTGGGTTTACATTAGGCTTTGGAGTCCAAACTTGCATCTTGCCGAAACTTTGTGTATGACCAGTCTCCAAACAGAGCCACGGTGTCCATGTGCATGAACAGAGATGTTCTTGAAACACGCCTGAGTCCTCATCAGCCTCTGTGTGATACAGGGTAAGTGCTGTTCTCTGCTGTTGTGTCTTAGTGAGAACTGTTGGTGTTGGAACGTAGTGACTGGTACTGTTCTATTTAGTATTAAATCTTTGTTTTGGTAGAGACAGACTTGTTTTCAAAAGATATGAAGTTTAATTTTTCAGGATTATGATTTGAATGTTTCAGATCAGTTTAAAATTTGGAGTCACTAACTGCTGAAATTTGAAGACTAGCTGGAATCAAGTTTTGAAAACCACAAATTCAAAGCAAATGTAATATATGTATTACATTATAAACTCAGTGTTTAAATGGGACAAAGTACAACAGAAGAGCTCTTGCCTCAATTTGTTTTATGCTTTATGTTCTTGTGCAAGTGATGTCTCAGGAATATTATGGCATGTAGGGACTTCACTTGTCACAGTTAAGATCCTCATTTATGGGAGAACTGGAAAAAAGGCAAATAATGGGTTCACTCAGACTGCTTTATAGTTGCTAAGATGTGTTTCCATGGAGGAGCTGACAGGAAGTTAACTGACTCAATTCATAAATTTATCTGAATGCTTGAACTGGTTGTCTGTCTTTAAACAAATGAAGAAAAATCGGTAAGGTTATTGCAAATTGCAGTTCAATGTCTGCTTAAGCCCTGTCAATCCTGTACTGCACACTTTTTAGATTCTTTGTAAATTAAGTGCCTATGGTACAGTTTGTTCCAGCTTCATTATTCAGCTAGAACCTTGCGCTGGGAATACTGGTTTGTCCTGTTACCCAGTGCCCAAAGTTGTTGTGTGGAAGGAGCACTCCGCATTGTACTTGCTATCCAGCCTGGGGAGAACCCTCATGAAAGCCCCTACAAGAAAGCCCCAAGGACCAGATGTTTACATATTCATGCAGCTGATTATACATCTACTGCTGTAATGGTAGAACTGAAATTCCAACGCGTGTGAGAAGCTATCTTTTACTACTCAGAGGGAAACAGAGCCCTGTGTCACAGTGGAAACTCAACCCAATTAAGTAACGGACTCACTTAGTGCTCAGAGTGGTATTCTTTTATCTGTTGATTTTTCAAGCTGAGCGGTGTACTCTGGAAGTGACCAGTTACTCTGAAGATGGTAAAACTGAGCAAGAAATGCACTAACTTCTATTTTGTATTTGCAGGTTAGTGAAACGCCTGGAGTTTGGAACACGGCCTTCAAGTATTCCAGGACCAATGAGCCATCCCTCACCAAGTGTTGTCAAGATGCTGCTATGAAAAGCCTGACTGGCTTTGGAAGAGGAAAAAAAAATAAATACATTTTAAACTTTAATCTTAAAGAGAGTATCAATGAGCAGTCAGGCAGCAGTCTCGGAGTACGTGAGAACTGACAAGAAGCTGCAATTGGCAATGGCCTCCTGTGGCCTTGCCCGGTCTGGTCTCCCAGCTGAGTTCTGTGGGTAGTGTGATAAAGCAATGCTGCCTACCCATGCAGGGCTTAGAATTGCTTCCTGCATCAGTTGCTGTAAAAGTTGCTTTTTCTGACACCGCCAGTCAAAGCCATTGTCCCTCTACCTGCAACACAGACAGTATTCCCTATGCAGCTCCTTGGGGTTTGACTTTTGGTGCTAATACATCACCATGGTGTTCTGGCTTAAATTCTGGTTGTGCTGGCTTTCTGTCATGGGTGTTGTGTGCTGCAGTCACCTGAATTAGGGGAGTGTTTTTGTGTGGACAAGGGTGTGTTTCTGTGGGGAAGCTGCTCAGCTCTTTGTGGGATGTTTGCTGGTCAGAATCTTGTTACACAAGAACTTTCCTCTATAGTGGTGAGATGGTTTTGTAAGCAATGATTTGCCATTAAGAACAGGTCATGGTTAAAGGTGAGGAATGTGTAGTGCTTAGAGTACTCAGGAGATGTCAGAGCTAACAGCAAGGTAGGAGACTTGCGACTGACGTAGCATGCTGGACGTCTTTTTCTGCCATGTTGTGGCCTGTAAAGCCTGGCTGTTGTAGGAAGCAAGAGACCTGATTAAATTCCTAATTCTAACATCTTAATAAGTGTGTTTTACTGCTTTCCAAACCTCCCTTTATTAATGTGCCTTGGATACTAGTGATTTTTTCTTAGGTTTTTGTATTATTTTTTTTCTTATGAGAATATGTGCTTTCAGCTGTTACTAATGTAGAAATGGTGTTTTAACCTGAAAAGTCCTTTATGCTAAACAAGTGTATATGAGCATATAATTATTTTTAAATCAGTTTTTTTCCCCTTGTAGAATATTACTATGTTTTGGTTTGTTTTTTAAATGGAGTAGGTTCCCTTACAGTATTAATGTACCATGTGGAAGCCTGTAATTGCAAAAATAATAATGACTAAACAATTTTTTGCAGGGGGTAGGGTGGGAAGGGCTTACTTGACAAAAGAATGCATAAATAGGTTTGGGTTTTTCTGTGGGTGGGTTGGGTTTTTTTTGGGTTTTTTTTTAAGAAAATGCTGTGAAAACAGCCACTGATGCATCTATTTATCTGGAATAAGAAATAACCACAGATCACTTCCATTATTCAGGCCATCTATAAAGTTGGCTTAACTGGGGAGCAGAATAAAGCTTATTTTGAATGCCAGTTGTTGATCCATTTTGAATTTTTCTGCAAGTTGTCATTGCAGATATGCACAGATATCTGCTACCGGTTTCTCATCTGTTTCTGATCTATGAAGCTGAAAAAGACCTTGTTTGTTTTGCCAAATCATACGCAAAGATTTTCCTGCATCTCTCTCTCTTCATGTTTTCCTACCCTAAGGAATGTAAATATTGTCATAGTTAAAGATGCCTCTGGGATTTATAGTGCTTAGTATTGACATTATTCTTTCTTAAATTCTTGAACTCTGGCTGTTTTAACATGAGTTTTGTCCTCTCTTCTCACACTGGGAGTTGACACTCTTTGCTTACTCACAAGGAGCAGAAGCGCATGGGCTGTTTTGTTAGTTGTGCTGACACATGGACTGTGGTTCAGTGAAGTGTGTAGGCTGGAGGGATCAGTCAAGACAAGTTGCATTTTCCTTATCTTGCCAGAATTTACCTGCTTGGTGAGCGAGTTGGCTTGTCTCAATCTGACATTGAGACACAGCAGTGAGATAAGGCAGAAAGTTGGAAAATTGTGGCCATGCTAGTACTGTGTATTTTACAGATACATTGTTAATGTGACTATGGATATAATTAGCCAGACTAGGGGTGGATATGCTATTGAGAATTGTCAAAGTAGTTTAGTCCGGAACATTCACCTCTGTAAAGGTACAGAGAGGAACTTTTTTGAGAGAGGAACTTTAGATCAGCCATTGTTGTGGAAGAATGTTTTCTGTGGTGTTACTAAAGAAACTTCATCTCCCTATTTTGACACAAGCTTTGCAGAACAGGGACTGGAACCTGGGTTTCTCAAGTGATAGGGCAGTGCTCCAACCATTGTACCAACCTCTACAATTATTCATGTCAATTTTCTAGATGAATTTGTTTTAGAAGCGCTCCATGTTCAACTTGCTGATTCTGCTCCAAGCATTAGGGCTTAAGACTATTCTATATGAAGTCTGACTTTCTTGGTCTCCTTGTTCTCACACATTCAGGCTACAAGCTATGTGTTTAACAGCCAGCTCTCGAGCATGTTTAGAGAGCTGGGCTGCATGGCTGATCAAGCAATGGAAAGGTTTTATCTCATAGCTCCTAACCCCACTCCTCTGCAGCTTGTCATCTTAATTGCTCTAAATTAGTTCTTATTTGAACTCTTCCTTTACTCTTTCATGAGCAGAGAAAATTCTTTAAGCTCTCATTCTATTGGCTAAATAGTGCCTAGTCTGAATCTCCAGTTTACGATCTCTGTGCCTTCTGGAACAATGCTTAGATTTAGAAAATGATTGCATTACCTGTCAAAGTGGATGCTTTTGCATGACTTGTTCTCCCTGTAGTCACACTGCTTAAGGTTCACTTGCTGTACAATCTAAGACATCAAGTAAGTGCTCTGTGCTTAATTCTACACCTGGCTTTGCTGCGCGTGGTGCTCTGCTGCCCCAGTGTGACCACAGAGCCACTGCAATCTCAAAATACTAGAGCTGCATGGATTTGTGGTAGGTCCTGGTAGTTCCCAGGAGTGCGCTTCAGTCCTGTTGGAGTTCTCCAACAATAAAAAGTAACGGCGTACTGATCCCTTAATACAGAATAGCTTGGCTCGGATCACTGCATTCAGTGTGGGCGGCTCTTTCTAATTGTTTTCAGCCTGCTTTAGAGGCTTTGGTTGGAAATATCTCTATGCATACAGACTTTGGGATGGATTCAGTTACATAAAGACAGACACTTAGGGCCCTACCTGCCTTCCAGCTGCAGCACCAGAATGCTGCAAGTCTCCTGCAGGTCTTGTCATGTCTGTCAGCCCTTGGATACATTCTGGGGCACCTCGGTTAGCACCGTGTGTCCATGAGGTAACCAAACCTATCCCAAGTACTTCATGTCATTTTACATTCAGCTCAGTGTACATACCTATTTCTTTTATTTGTTCAAAAGCAATTGCTTAGAAAATCAGGTTTTTCTTCTAATGATTCCAGGTGACCTTTTCTAAAAAATATTTGAGTTGTGAAGAAGCTCTACTTCCATCGCCCGTTCCCTTCAAGCATGCTTTATTGCACCCAAGTGACACCTGACACAAGAATACTGGAGTAGTTTTTATAGCCTTTTATTAGTGTGTAAGCACATCCATGGTGCATATAAAACTGTTACAGTAGACTTAATTTGAACAAATGATATTTTATTTTTAAGAAAGTGATTAAAAAGGCACTTCCACCTTGTGAATGGTGCATCAGGGGTGTAGTAACCAGAAAAAAACCCTATATTAATTGAATACTCAAGAAAAAATGAAACTTTAAGGAAAGATTAACTGACCAATGCCTTTTTTTTCCCCTGCAACAGTCTCTCAAATCCTCTGTAAACTATAGTTCACTGGGATTTAAATCATCTGAGCTACTAGAACTCACTTTCTAGAAGATTCTTAAAGTGAATGGGTGTTAAAAATCCCCCGCTTTTTCAAATACACTTCATAGTAAGATAAGTTTTGGAGTACTTGTAACGTTGATCTATACATTGGAGACAAGGCAGTTGTGCTTTTATCAGTCAGAGGAGTGGGTGTATGTGACCTTGACACTAAGAGCAGACTTATACAGTGCTAAATATCGTCCTCCCTCCCCTTGCTGCAGTGCAATTTTTAAAGCGTGTTTATTCACTGGCTTTTGTTCCATTGAAATCTCCGTCTCTTGCATCCATTTCTTCATCACCTCCTTCTGTTGCATTCTCAATTACTCTTCTGCCTCCAGATCTACGGGGTGGGGCAAAAGATGCTGGCTCATTTCCCCTCCTGCAGTAAGAGGGTGGGGGGGAAAAAAGTATAAAAAAATCAGGTCATTTTCAGTCCTTACAAATAAGCATAGAGTTTCATAACAGTACCTGTGGGGCTGATGTTTTTAAATGCAGAACAGCCAAGAGCTGTGGGCCTCTAATATAACTTTCTGTTCTGTAGCATAGAAGATTAATTTGTGGATGGGTTGAGGCCCCCAGTTGCTTGGAACTGTGATGGGATTCCTGTTCTTCTGCTTATAGTTCTCCTCTAAATAGTCTCATCTGCCCCAACCTCCCGCTACTCATCCCTTCATTTCACCATTTTTCCCTGTGGTGACTGCAACTGGTTGTGCAGGGAAGGAGTGGGAAAGAGGGCTGCTTGTACCCACAACAGCAGCGGAGTGTCCTTCCTGTCCTTTTAGAAGAGCAAGGGGAGAAAGCGAGCTTGTGATGAATTTCTGACGTTCAGTCTGAAAATAAGCCCACCAGTTGCTGAAGGCCCATGAGACCTGGGACTGGAGCAGTGCTGCAGATGTTAGCAGATGTTTTTGAGCCCACAGTCCCTCTCTGCGAAGGCTGTGTTGGTCAGAGCACGACAGGTGCTTTGACATGTATGGCATCCTAAGCTGTGAGTAGCTCCAATCTCTTTCCCAATGGAGAGAGGAAACTATTGCTGCTTTGGAACTGTGTTTCAACTCAGGTGCTGACACTTAACAGTGCAAATGTCTTGCAGAAGAGCTTACAGAACAAGCTTTTTCACATCTTACCCCCTTTTCCCTTCCCATCCCCATATATTTCACAGCCATAGCCCAAGGGAGGGACATTTGAGTCCTCAAGGTTAATGTTTTACAGAGGTGTAAGCAACTGAGACAGAAGATGGATTTGTCTCTTCTTGACCTCCGTTGCTGCTGTGCTACAAAACGCTTAAGTTTTGTAACATAGCCTCTCACTTACCCTCATTAAGCAAACCTTTGTAAAGGCTTGAGACCACAGACATAAGCAATAAAATAAATTGATGATTGCTGAATGTTGTGTCAAAATTACTAATTTGGCGTTAAATATATATGACTTTGCACTTTTGCGTACAGCAATCATGCATAAATATTTAAAGGCTTGTCTTGTCCTTGCAAAAGACTAAGACGGTTTTGTCCTTTCTGAAGCAGCTATTTAAGTCCAAAGTTCAATCTTCTGTACAGGGGAAATGAGTAGGAACATTGGCTGAACTGACTTATTTTGGAGGCACAAATCTGTGTTTCCAAGGTGGAAATGTGAGGTGTAGTCTCTTTTCCACAATTCTGCCCTTAATCTTTGGTGTGAGCAAGCAATTAGCTGGATAATAAAGCTTTATCTAGGATCTGCTAGTTAACCTTAGTTGTTCTGGTGCTGATGGCAGGTATTGATCAGAAGAAGGCTATGTCATTTCTACCCTGGCATGCACTTGGCAGAGTCTAACAGCAGTGTCTGCTATTTTATGATAGCAGATATTATTACTGTTTACAAGAACATTCTAGTTAGGTCAGTAAATTCATTAATTCTTGTCAATAAAGATCTTGATCTTCATCAGGAAGAGCTCTTTACCCCCTTGGACTCCTGCTATCTGGACCCAATTACTCACAAGTCATTTGTAGGATAACTCTTTATGCTGCAATAATTCTCTGAAGTGCTCTAAGAGAACATGGAACTCGTGGAGAGTGAAAACAAGAGTCTAACCAAATTGTGCAGTACAGCTTTGGCTATAAAGTGCACTCCCTCTTAACATAAACTGTTGCAATACATATAACCTCAATAATTCTTTAAACTGGTGTTGGCCTTGTGGATAAACACTTTTTGTTTATATGTTTTTTTAAACAGGTTTATGGGTTTGATAGTATTCATGTGGTCATTCACATTCGTGCCTTTAGAATAATGAGTATGGTTGAGACAAGACTTAAGCATTAGTGTTTGCTTAGCGTATCGGTATTTAATTTACCTTTGAAAAAGTGCTACTGGAGTAGTGCTTGAAAAACAGTCTGACTGGAAATACTAGGCTGACTAAAAGGCACATGCAAGGACAAGACATCATCTTTAAATATTTGTGTATTCACAACAAAATCCAGCATATGTAAAATAGAAGATATACAAATATTACAACCAGTAGCTCTTTAATTTTTGCAACAGCAGATATTATTCCTATCTCCAGAGACTGTGATAAAGTATAACATAATGCTGTGCTAGGTTACAGTGTCAATATTAATTTCTGTGTCCGTGCTTTATATTTTAATAACAGTACACAAGCAATGTAATGTCTGCAAAACAGCTCTAAAAGCCTAAGTAATAGCTCTTTGTGAGCAATACAGGCACAAAGCACTATATAATGAGGCAAGATTTTCTCTTTTTTCTGTGATTGTGTGGTGTGTGATAAACCACATGCAAGTAAGACCTTCCCAAATCTTTGGTGAGTTAGATGGGCTCTTACCTTAGACTCAGCATTACAATATGTGTAAGAGATACCGTGAAATTCTAATGACATGCTGTGACACTTCATTAGTCTTTTTAATCAATTTTACTAACCAAAGGTGTATTTGATTTGCAAAATTTTAATCTTTGTGGGTGTGCACAAAGATGAAGTGCAAAAAAGACGTTTTTCATGCAGAAAAATTCAGAGTACTTTATTAGGTACTCTATTGGTAGAGCTTGTGAGAATGCAACATTGGTAAATCTACATCGGTATGTAACCTACTTATAAGAAAGATGTATCACTGAACAGCTGATGGTAGCTAGATTATTGTAATATTTGTTTCTTTTGATAAAACAGATTAATGCCAAGATATCCAAGCCTTCACAGTTTGCAGAAACCTCACATAATTTTTACTTGGGCCAAAGAAAATGGAAATTTGTGCACACAAGCTAGCTGCAAAGTTGAAGGCATGGTACCTGCTTAGTCATGCGAAGGTTCCTGTGTCCCTCTGAAACAGAGATAGAGAGTCCTGGGCAGTTACACTAAGCACATGGTCATGATCAGAGGTAGGTAGATTACTTTTCAGTAATTAAACAAAATGTATTACAGCCAATTACATTACATTTAAATAAAACATAAGAGTCTTATGCTGTTCTATGTAAAAAGGACTGGACACAGCCACTCCTTAAAGCAAGCCAGGAGCATGCAGCACCCAAGATGGTGCTAGTGGAAAAGGCTACCACATCCCTAACTCTTCACTTTGAAGTAAATCCACATCTGAAGGTTTATGCATGTTACTGGTAAACACGCTGGCAAACTGCTTCAAGAACACAACTAGGCAGGTGCTTTACTTTGATCTGAAATACTGTTGGTTTTAGGTGGAAAATGAAGTTTCATGAAGTCAGCCTCTTTATTTCAGTGAGTCGGTGTTTGTCAAACTCAGTGAGTGCAGGAGAACTCAGTTATGTAGCTGACCGATCGCAGCTTTATCTTTTTCCCAGTCAGTTGTAAGGAGAAAACACAAAGGGACGTTTTGACCTTTTCCTTGATCTGATGGCGCTGAATCCCTTTGTGGTGAAGTCCAAAGAGCCTTTTGGATGAGAGTCATATAATGCGCTTTGCCTTTTGCCACCTGTGATGTTGTCTTAAGACTGTTTACGGTCATTGTGTGCGAGTTGTGCATGTGTGAGAGAGTGAAAAGCACAAGCATTTCTACCCTTTTGTGACTGCTCTGTACAAATAGATACAGCCGTTGTATACGGGGTGTTTTCAAAAGCAACCAAGCCTAATTCTGTTCCTATTTAAGCCAACAGGAGTTTTGTTTAGAGAAAGAGAAAGGCCTGTGCCGTGTTATCACGTCTGTTCATCTCAGAGCTGAAAGCCTGAGACTGCTGCAGTCTATAAAATGCACTTCACTTTCTGACCTCGGCCTCTTGTTGCATTTACCAAGCTAATACAAGGAGTGAGTGACTTTTCCAGTATTATCAGTGTCTGTTCTTTACTTGAATGGATTTTTTTTTGCTTCTCTAGTTTAGTTCCAAATTTCAATCTGTCAATGAGTGGGAACAGCTATCCCAAACAAGGGCACTCTACCTGAGCTTGCTCTTCAGTGCTGCAACCTCGCGACCCAGGGCTTCGTTACTCTCAGTAGCTTCATCCAGCTCTCTCTGCAGCTTCCTGCGGTTTGCGTTGATACGCTGAGACTCTTCCTCAGCCTCCTCCAGCTGCCTTTTCAGTTGCTTGAGTCGTGTGTTGCCCTTCTCAGCCTAAAGGGAAATTTTAGAGTAATGCTTCAATTTAAAACAGATCTAATAGCTTTACATTCCTCGTTTTAGTTTCATACTTCTCTTGAGAGATTTACTGAGACATGGCCTGAATCAAAGGTAGAAGCTTAAAATATAAAAAAATAAAAAATGACTTTGCTTTGTGGGAGTTCATTTTACTGTTAGATACTGTATTCAGACACTACCTTGTTTATTTTGCTGCACAGTCCTACCTCAGCTTTTCTGGCCTGCAGGTTGGTGTGCAGTAGGTAAAGCTACAATTTTAAAACAAAATGTGTTCATCATCTCCGTTCATATACCAATAAGGATGTCTTGCACAGCACAGTCCTATGCATCACAGTGCAGTCAGACTGTTGCAGCTGGCTGGTTAACAAGGACTAGTGCTTTGGCACTTGACTCAGTGTAGAAAAATTATATTGTCCTGTCTTTTAGCAAAGGGCTATATAGCTCTCCCAGCATAGAATTGAAGCAGACAGTCTGCTTTCTAGAGGGGTATTTCTTTGAGACAGAACACGGAATCTTCCTTTCTTAGGGTGAAACCTGAAAATCTCTGTGCCCCAGACTAGGGCTCTCATGACAGTCTGATACCTGATCTTTGTACTGCTCCGCTTGCTTTCTCTCGTCCTCCACCTGCAGCAATGCATCCTTCAGCTTCTTGTCCTTCTGGCGCAACGTCTTGGCTGCAGCCTGCTTTTCTCTGCAAATGACAATGCAGCATTTGGTGATGTGGAAGGTCTGTAATCTTCACCTGCCTCAGGCATGTTGCTCATGAAACTGGCTCCAAGGATCCATATGTTAAAGGCCTTACTGAATTCAACAGATGAATTCAAAGCAAAACTTAAAGGTCATGTTCTCATGATTAAAACCAATATGTCTCTTTGCTATATGCTAGAGGTGCTTCAGGAGATCTGTTCTAAGACATAAGGTGATTTCCTCAAGAAATAATCCTACAAATGGTACAATGTGTTATGGCAATTAACCTCTCAAGGTTATAGGGCAATAACTCTAAAATGTAGGGCAGCAGATCCTTGCCTTTGATACCAGTAGAACTTTTCAGCAATAAAATGGTTTTTAATCAGAACCCGTAACAACTGTAGTTACTGGCCATGTTTTCTAGAAACGTTAAGTGAGGGAGAGACCTTATGAAGCCTTAATGGCATGGAGAGCCTGATGACACAAATCCTGTATGCCTTTTTTTACTTTCTGTCTCATGATCTGGAACAATAAATGAACAGCTGTGTCCTCTGGGAGACCAGTACCTGGCTTCCTGTTCCAATTGCTCTTCAAGAGAAGCAATTTTGGCCTCCAGAGCAGCAATTGTAGTTTTGAATTTGGACTTCACAGCTCCTTCCATCTCCTGCAGCTTACTCTTCAGCTCTTTGTTCTGCCTCTCCAGTTGCTGCCGAGCATTTTCGTTCTTCTGTGCAGCTGAGCGCTCTGTTGCCAGCTCGTTGTTCAGCTGCTCTGCCTGCAAGAGTGAGAATGGATGCTGTCAAAAGCATGGCATGCTTTCAGAGAAAGGACAGGTGGCAATTCTCCAAATACTTTTTCAGAACCACAAATGGCTTTGGCTGGAATACAAACAGAAAATGGCACATGCTGAAATGAAGTCTACCTGCTGTACTGCTTTCCTCATGCGATCACCCATTGCCTCTATGTTGCTTTGCTCCTCTTCTAACTCTTCCTCCAGTTGGGCAATTCTTGCCTCCAGGCGCCGTTTCTCATCCTGAAGGCTTGTCCTGTAAGTTTAAATTTAATGAGTGTGTAGTTATGGCTCTGACCAGCTGAATGTGTCTGAGACTACTCTGAACTGCCACTAGTACATAAAGAGAGAACTAGACATTTCAATGAAACTAGTCATATCTGTGCGTGTTGTGTTGTCAAGACCAGATGGTTGTTGGGAGGGGAACATAACTTCTCTTGGCAGCCGTGCAACGTTCAGCAGCATGTTTACAGCCTTGTGAGTAATCCAGTCTATTCCTACCTTCCAGAAGTAGCACTTGCAAGTTCCTCTGCCATCTCTTCTTTCTCCAGATCTGCTTGTTTGCGAGCTCTCTCTGCAGCAGCCAGATCCTAGGAGAAAAAAAAAAAGGTACCGTAGTAAAGAAATGAGCAAGTAAGTGTTCAGACAAATGGTTATAGCATGATACACAGGACTGTAAACTTTCTAAGACTGGTATAAGGTGGATTGTCTTGCTAATGGAATAAATTCTTGTCATATCATGAATCCTAAAAGTACAATGACATACACTTTAGCTGTCAGCTGGTTTCTGTTTTGTTTTAGTTAGATTGCCATTTAATGCACGTATGAATAATAGCACTAACAAGACTTCAGGAATTTATAGCTATTGAAAGCAATTTGTGTTGGATCATGCAGTTCATTTCCCTTTAAAGCTGGTGAACTGTGCCTTCCTCCAAGGTGATTTTTTTTCAGCTTGATCTGGCTGTGCTCGGATGTAGATCCAGCAACGTTAGTGGAGTGCATGGAGCATATGACTCTTGTAACAAGTGCTGCTTATAGCTTTCCATGCCTGTTATCTATTATATTATTTCATTGCAGTTCTGTTTTGCTACTGAAGGTCATTTGTAGTCTGCTTCATACTGCTGTAGGTTTCCCACATTACCTCTTGAAGCTGGATGAGTTCTGCTTCCAGGCCCTTTGCTTTCTTCTCATTTTCTCTGGCTGTAGCAAATATTTCTTCTCTGGCAGCCCGTGCATCATCCAGCTCTCGTTGGTAATCCTTCATCTGAGCCTTGTTGAATAACAGAGATTTATTTTTATCTGGCTTTATTACGATTTCAGGAGAAAAAAATTTGGACAGAATAGAACACAACATTTACATAGTCATAATGCCTGATTAAATTATATTTTCTGGAGACATCAGCTAACAAAGGTTGGAAAGGTCTGAAATGCTATTCCAAGAAGAGCCATGCTTCCACTTGCACGCTGTGGCTTTTGTAATGTCTTTGTCCTTATTTCCTCTCAATGTTTGAATACACGTGCAGTCTTAATCTTTACGATACATCCCTTTTTGTTTTTCAGCTGTCAGCATATGACAGAACAGTTGACATGGAGATTTACAGTATAAACAGGAAAATGCTAATTCAGAGACAACATGATTTCTGAACAGTCTTTTGTGCTTTTAAGTCAAGTGTTAGAACCAGAATTGAAGCTCTATAATAGATTTTTATCCTGTAGCCCTTTCTCTACGTGGGAATCCATGTTTTCCTTCACGTAGGTAAGTCAATAGCAGATGAGTGTTGGCCAGAGAATTATGGAAGCTCCCTGCAGTGATGAAATTTAGGATTTCAATGGTTTGCCATGTGAAGTTTTTCGTTGTCATTCAGACTGAGCATTACAGTACAGATACTTGAATCTGGGAGTCTAGTTAAAACCTCCCCTCTAACCTATCATCTGTAACTGGCATCAAGTTCACAAATGTCACCTGGCTTTCATCTTGTGGCTGTACAAAAGACAGCAGTGGGAAAAACTGTATTTGTGGGATTATATACCTGTAATTTGCGAAGCTGTTTGATGGCTTCTTCCCGAGCTTTATTAGCAGAATCAGCTTGGCTTTCTAGATCTTTAACATCAATCTCCAGCTTCTTTTTGGCTGCAGCTGCCAGGGCACGTTGCTTCCGCTCATCTTCCAGTTCCGTTTCATATTCATGGAGCTGATTATTAAAGAAAACAACTTAAGTTTAGGAAAGTCCTTGAGCACTCTTAAAACATTCTGTGTATGTTTGAGTAATGTACACAGTCCCCTATATCTTTATAAATTGTGATTTCCCTGGCAATTGAAATAGATTTCATTTTTGTCCAAAAATTAAAGACTCTTTGAAGGAGTCAGCAATTTGTGTTCTGTATTCATGGAAAATGTATATTACAAGATGATGACTACAGCAGTTGCCCTTGCTGTCACAACACTACAGATAGGCTGTGTCGTGTCTGTTTTCATTTCCAATGCTTTTCTATCCGTTCAGCTGCCTTTTTTCACTTGCACTGAGAATACAGAGAAAGTTCTTATGACCTTCTCAGAAATAACAATTTGTATGTTTTATACTATATTAGTTGTGTTAAATTTATACATCTGTTAGCAATTGTGCGTCTGCTATTGAAACAGGAAAAAAAACTTATGCAATGTTTTGTGCCTTTTTTAGTACAATAACCTACCCATTGTTATTATTATTATTCAAATATAAGACAATATAATGTTTTCTTCTCATCCTAATGAGATACTAAGAGTAATGGCCAATATAATGTTTTCTTCTCATCCTAATGAGATACTAAGAGTAATGGCATGAAGTAGAGGGCTTTCAGCTGGCTCGGTTAGATATTTACAAAGGCAATAACAGGGAGTGGTACCTGTCTAAGGAGTTGTCGTCTTTTCTCCTCATTCTGTTCGTCTCTGGCTTGTAAATCTCTTTCAAACTGGCCTTTCAGGGCCTGCATGTTAACCTCCAACCTGAGTTTGGCATCTTCAGCAGCCTGTAGCTCATCCTCCAGCTCTTCTAATTGTGTCTTCATCTCTTCTACTTGCTGTTCAAGGGTCCGTTTAGATTTCTCCAATTCGTGGACCTTTCAAACAATGAGAAGTTAATAGACTTGTTATAAGTAATAAAAATAATTCTAGTCAAACACAGTCTACCTGCAGTATAGGTCATTTTGAAAATATCAGTGGTGGACAACAAATGAACTAATTAGCATTGAAAATGGTAAATTAGCATTTTTTGTACACTGTCAAATCTGTCTCAAAATAACCTGAGATTCTCTTCATCCCAAACTTTCATTTTTAGTCTAGTCAAGTATCATAATTAAATTTATTTAGAATTAGAAGAAATATTTTGATATCACTGTAATAAAAGAGGTGATTGACAACACGTCAGTGGAAGTTTGCTGAAGCTGTACAAGTAAATGTTAGGCTGGTGGCAAAGTCAAATGAACTAATAAAATCAGATTTGTGGAGTTTAAAACTTCAAAGCTGCTTAATAAACTAGTAAACTCTTTAGAATCTCTTCAATGTTTTTTCAGTATTAGAAATCAATAAGAATCTTCTTTGTACTTGAAGTCATGTTAAAAATAAAGATGGCTTACAGTTACTTTGCCAAGTCTCTTGGAAGTTTGGGCCCAAATGGGATAATTTTTGAATTCTATATGAAATGTCTGATCTTGCTGAATGGATTTGTGTGCTACAGAGAATTTCCCACACTGAAAACAATGATCTGTTTGTTAGCTGCTATTTTAGGTTATTGTTGTGGGAACTGTTCTAAACCCAAAACTTACATTCTTGCCAACATCATCTTTGGAGCTAACAAGATCTTCCATTTCAGCTTTCAACATTTTGTTCGTTCTCTCCAGTTCTTCTTTGGCTTCCAAAGCCTCTTCAAGTGCTCGGGCCAGTGACAAAGCCTTTGTTTCTTTTTCTCTAGCTTCAGCTTCTGCTCTGTCCCTTTCATCTGCGTATTTTGAAGAGATGTTTTTCTCTTCAGCTAGCATCTGTGAAAAGGTAGGATTAATACAAAAAGTCATTAGTAATAGGGTTTTTTCTATGGCGACTGTCTTGTCAGTTGTTAATGACAGAGAAAAATCTCTGCTTTTTTATAAATGTATATAAATACAAAATTAACCAGTGTATGTGTAATTAAATTTTAGTTTATTTTTTGTCCCTGCTTTACCTTTTGCTAAACCGGTGTAGCCTCTGTGAGTTCCAGAGAAGTCAGGTGATAGCACAGCAAGGGAGAATCTTAAATCCATACCTGATCAAACTTCTTCTGTTTCTTCTCCAGGTTGGAGACTAGCTGACGCTGGTTGTCTAAGTCCACCACCAGGTCATCCAGCTCCTGCTGGAGTCTGTTCTTGGTTTTTTCCAGTTTGTCGTAAGAAGCAGCCTTTTCCTCAAACTGTTGTGTGAGGCTTTCAATTTCCTTCTGAAATTTCTTTTTGCCTTCTTCCATGATTTCTATTGTGCTGGTATATTCCTGTAGCTTCTTCTTAGAGTCAGAGAGCTGAAATTTGAATTCAGAGGAAAAATCTTTAGAGCAGTGACAACAAAGCTTGGCAGAGAAGATGGCCATGAGACAGCCAAGACCCAGAAATGTCATCTAATTTGAACCATGTGAAACTAGTGACCAGTTACCCATCAACTAGCCTTCATAAAATGAGGCAGACCACAGACCTAGTATGCACATACAGGCCTAATGTGCAAGACTATCTTGAGAGCTACCTTACATTTGTACCTGTCCTAAAGGTCACACTTTAAAGAGAAGGGAGACTGCTGGCTCCATTGTGGAACTTCACTGATGCCATCTGGGCTAATAGCACTAGTTCCCTGAAGAGCCATGTGCTGTGCCAGGATAGTTCTACAGATCTAAAACCTCTGGAATTACTGACAAAACTCTCAATGATGCAGCTAGTGATTTATCTATGGCACTGATACCTGTATTGTCAGCGTTGAAATATGTCTCTCCAGATTTTGTTTTGCTTCTATTTCTTCATCCAACTGCTCTTGCAAGCTGTTCTTCTCATCCTCTAACTGACGAAGCTTGGTAGACACGTTTAGCTTCTGCCGTGTTTCTTCCTGAAGCAGCTCCTACAGTCACCACATCAATTGGCAATACAGACATTATTTTAGGTCTTTCTATAGTGCATTTTGTAAATATTGTAGGTGAGTTTTTACTGGATGAAAGCTTACCTGTGTATCTTGTAGCTGGGATCCTAAAGTTGCAACATCTTTGGTCAATTTGATTGTCTTGCTTTCTGCTTCATTAAGCAAACCAGTAACGTTTTCAACCTCAACCTATGAGACACCACAGTGAATAAACTCAGTTATTTTGCACAACTTCAAAATCTTCCTCCAAACTTTAGTTTGCTCTAGATTGAAATCTTAACTTTGAACAGGATCTGAATCTGCTCCCATGCTTCTGGGTCACCTCAAGCACCAACAGAGTTCCTAGCTTAACTAGAATTCACAATTTTGCCATAATTTTCTGGACGATATGTGGGATTTAAGTCCTGTGAAATTCAATCTACACACAAACTCTGCAGTGTCTGCACATGTCATCTTTGTGACCTGTGTATTAAGACCCTCAAGGTCGAATGCCATTTTTGTCTAGTTCACCTTAGTGTTTTATGACTCTATATCAAAACCTAGTCATATTCATAAGGCAATACTAGTATATTGTTTTCAATGAATTGCAAAGGGGAATGGGAGTCTGTGGATTTTCCTTCCTCTTTCCAAGTTTGACAGAACTTGGTGCATTTTGATTATATTTTCTTATTTATTCACTAAATTAACATAATAAAGAAAAGCTTACTACTGCTATGAACAAAGTTGTAACAATAAGCTTAATTAGTATTTCTGGACATCCAACATCTGCCAAAGAACCATTTTAGATTATAGCAGCCTTCCAGTACTTAAAGGGGGCCTACAAGAAAGCTGGGGAGGGACTTTCTACAAGGGTATACAGTGATAAGACAAGGGGTAATGGCTTTAAACTGAAAGAGGGTAGATTTAGATTGGATATAAGGAAGAAATTTTTCACTGTGAGGGTGGTGAGGCACTGGAACAAGCTGCCCAGAGAAGTTGTAGATGCCCCATCCCTGGAAGTGTTCAAGGCCAGGTTGGATGAGGCGTTAAGCAACCTAGTGTTGTAGAGAGTGTCGCCACCCGTGGCAGGGGGATTGGAACTAGATGATCTTTGAGGTCCGTTCCAACCCAAACCATTCTATGATTATCTTTAGTTATTTCTTGTTAGACACAAAATCGTAAATAAGTGAGCGTTCTCATTTCGTTGTCGTTTTTTCTGAGAACTTTGTGTTTAATAGCTGTCTAATCCATTTGCAGAAGCCACCTTCTTATCAATGTTCCCCACCACCCAAAAATGAACGAACAAAAAGAAACTCTGTAAAACACACAGCACAGTCACTGAACCAGTGGTGGCATTATAGACTACAACGTGTGCGGAGGGACCATGAGACTAAAAGCTCTCACTTCCATGAGACAAAGTGGTTGTAATTGTTTAACTGTGTGATAACTGAGGTAGGAGTTCAAGGTAGGAACCCTACAGGTGGCAAAAAGATGAGCATTTCAGCTGAAGTTGACAGGGCCAGGATTCATCCAGATATATCCTTGCAGAACAGTATAAACTGGTCTTCTCAAGCCCGAAGTGTCATAGCAAAAGGTCCAACTCCTTCCTACCTGTAACTTATGAACTTTTTCATTGAGTTCTGTCCGAACACGCTCTCCGTCAGTGTACTTGGACTGTAACTCTTGCAGCTGTACTTCCAGCTTCTTCTTTTTGTGCTCTACGTCTTGTTTGGCCTGATTCAGGCTCCTAACTTCATTAGCCAGATCAGCGTTGTCTTTCTCCAATGACTGTTTGGTCTTATCCAAGTTTGCTTTAGCCTACAAGCATGAAGTGAAGAAAGATGATCTATAAAAGGAAACTGTTATTTAGTGGATAGTTTTCAATAAGATGGATTTCTGTTTACCCGTTTGAATTGCTCCAGCTGTTCTGTTAGCTCTTCCACAGCTTGAGTGTGCTTTTGCCTCATCTCCTGGACCTGGGCTTCATGAGTTCGAGTCTCCTCCTCCAGAGCTCTCTTCAGCACTGTGACCTCCTGTTCACGCTTTGCTCTGGAAGGTAACACACATAAATGTAGCAGCAGCAGCAAAGGGTGTTCCAGTCACTGGGAAAATAGCACTACTGCACGGTTACTAGACAGTATTGTACTGAGCTTGGTGACGTTTTTTTTGGCCCATGTGCTACTTCTCCATACCTGAGCTCTTGCTGGGTGGCTGTGGTATCCAAAGTATCCTCAAGCTCTGTCTTGAGAGCCTCCAGCTCTTCACCAAGGTCTCTCTTCTGTTTTTCTGCTTTGTTTCTTGCAGCTCTCTCAGACTCCAAGTCTTCCTGGAGATCAGAGATATGAGATTCCAATTCACGGATCTTCTTGAGGGCATTGTTCTTCTGACTAGTTTCATCTTCAAGCCTGAAAAGAGAGTATTTAATTTTATATATTTAAAAAAAAAATTATTTCACTTTGAGGAAATGAGTATACAGAGATTGAAGGTTTATAGATTCTGTGCTAGAAAGTACGAAAGAAAGAGGAGGGACTGACACAAAGGAGATCTGGCAGCTGTACTTTATCAAGACACAATGCCTGGAGATGCTGATCAGCCAATTCAGCATAAGTTTTGGTTGAGTGTTGTCCCTCTTAAATTTATACAGAAAATCCACTGAGACTCTGGAATGGATCAAAGTCAGGCTCTTAAGTAATCTCTGCCTTTTGCCTATGAAGTATGTTGTTACATTTCATTCTTTACTTGACAGAACTGCCAATGCCATTGGGAAGAGGAGTTTTCATTGACATCTAGAGGTAAGATTATGTGTCTATGGGCAAAAAATAGTATAATTATTTTTTGCGAAAGGAGATTTGGAAAACAGGGAATGCATGCAGGGAGGATGTAACTGAGAGATGAGATTCATGGCTGCAGCATCTCAGTGTCTGGGAAGGGGAGAGACGTGTGTTCTAAGACGGGTTTTCAACCTGTATGTGGATTCAGGAGTGAATACCTGGCAAGAGCAGCCTGTAGCTCTTCCTCCTTCTTGGCTAGTTGTGCCTTCAGCTCAGCAATTTGTGCCTGGAGCTCTGCGATTTGCTCATGCAGATCACTCGACTCCCCTTCCAACTTCCTCTTAATTTTTTCCAGTTCTTGTCTGCTCTTCTCTTCTTTCTTCAGTCGCACTGAAAAAAGTAAGGATTTTGGTTGTGGGAGTGTGTTAGTGCAAGGAGTCCTTAATCTGATCTAGAACTTGGGCAAAAAAATGTTCTGGCCTCCAGTGAGGCCATACATTTAACTACAAGTCATTGCATTTCTGAAGCAACATGCAATACCTTACTGTCATCACTTATTTCTAGCCACCCCAAAGAATCATTTATTTTCTCCTTAAGAAGCATTTTTTTCCCTCAATTTTCTCTCCTCTACTCTTTTGTATGTAAAAAAAGAAAAAAGGTATCTATGATTTCTGCACCCTGGACTTTTGGTGAATCTCACAGACAAAATGGTTTTGGCATAAGAAATTTGGAAAATACCACACAAATTTTTTTTAGAAGTTCTCTCCACATTCTCTTTATGTTTTTTTTTGGCATGTGCCAGGGCAACAAAAAAACCCTGATATAAATCCCTTTTGTTCATGTTACCTTCAAGTTCTGAAATCATAGATTCGTGTTTGTTTTTCAGCTTCGTAAGATTTTTGGCTTTTTCTTCTTCTTCTGCAAGATTTGTTGTTAGATCACTTATTCTTTCCTCAAGAAGTTTTCTTTCCTTAAGAAAAATAAAATATTTTACTGTTAACAATTTACCATTAACACAAGTGTCTGTCATTGTTGATCGTAAAGCAACTCTTTGCCAACTAAAAACATCCAAGATACGGTATTTTTATACTATATTTCTTGAAACTGTAGTGATATAGTTCAATTTGTCAGTTACAGAGGAGCTGAGGACTGGTGTCTGTGATTTCCATGTTCTCTAATCTGCTGCTATTAGAATCTTTTACTCATTCTAGTGGCTGGTAAGTACAGGGCCCAGTTCAGAGGAGCATCTCTTTTCAAAAAGTACTGGGATACATGCTTACTTCCAGCTTTAATCATGAAGTTTGGTTGAAATTAGTTGAAAACCAAGATAGATATTTACTCTGCTTGGGACCAAGGCAAGATGGCTTCCACTGATTGTGCTTGACTGATGTGGGTATTTCGCTTGAAGATATTGTTACCAAAACAGACCTCAAAACCGGTCATTTTACAAAATTTTGACTTGTTTAAATGAGCATGGAAAAATTATCAGAAAAATTTTCGATAGAGGCTGGACTGATGGTCTGGTGAATCTGTACACCCATGAGGCTGTATAGTCAAGAGTATTCCTGTTGTCTAGCAGAAGAGAAGGTTTTATCTCAGCTTGCACTGTTTTCACAAAGTAAGAAGACGGACCCACAATGCTTACCTTGGTTAGCTTGTTATTCTGATCTTCCATTATGAGAATATCATCTTCCATTTTCTTTATCTTGCCATCTGCTGTTACTTTTTCAAGTTGCAGTTTCTGCCTTGCAGCTTCTTCTTCTTCCAGCTGTTCCTCAAGGTCCTTTGAGGGGAAAAAGAAATGCATGAAACATGAATTCTGGAAATTAAATGCTGCTTAGATTATAGGAAATGCTTAATGTTTGTCACTGCGTGTGGGGTATGTTGTATACCGTTTTCTTTATTAAGAGCTAGAGAATCAGTAATGCTTGGTGATTTAGAAGGAAAGGTTTGTTTAAATAATTTTTTTTAGAAAAAAGATTATTTAAAACTGAGATTGGGAAGAGAACTCTAGAGGAAAGAGCATCAATTGATTGTTCTTCCTTCAGTGGCACAGAAAAATATTCTACAGAGGGCTGCATAGCATGCACTTTCAGAGGATCTGAAGTTTGCCAGTCTCCATTTTTTCTCGGTGATATACAAGTTATTGTCTGTATTTGTCACTTATGCCTCCTTACCAGCATTTGTTGCTGCATCTTTTTCTTTTCTGCTTGCAACTGCTGGCTGCGCTCCTCCTCTTCTTCAATTCTGGCTTCCATCTCATGCAGAATCTCTTCCAGCTCTTGTTTCTTAGCAGCTAAACGGACTCTCATCTCTTCAGCTTCAGCATACAGTTCGGTTTCTGCCTGAAGCTGTTCCTGAAGGAGGTTCTTCTCTTCACAAAGCTACGCCAATGAAATGGACAGGAGGTTAAGACGTGGATTGAGAATTGACCCACAGTGTCTTTTTACTAGATAGTCCTTGTGTACAGGCAGGCAGCTCTACCACAGGTTCTTGTGTGGACATTAGACCTCTGATGAAGTAACTGGGAGTTTGTCTGCACTGAACTTTTGTTCTGGACCATTGCTGTCAATACAGTCAGGAGTACAAAGAGAAAAAAAAAAACCCTTTATTGTAATAGCCTCTAGAACTGGTGAAAAAACGGCTAGCATTTCCCAGAGGCTCAGAGCTGTAAATCACCTGTGTGTGTTTCAGTTCCAGCTCCTTCAATTCACTCTCTGCTTTTTGTTGTCTTTCCTTAGTTTTTTGTAGTTCTTCATCCTTGGCCTGCATTTCTTCCTCTTGGCGGGTGACTTGCAGCAGTGGTTTCACCTGAAAATAAAAAGTTTTTTTTAAGAATGTTTCCTGACAGTTTTTATGTTACTGAGCATGGATGGTACTTAGAGGTGCCAGGGTGAGTGGCACTAGTGGTAGGACTGTCTGACATTGCTCAAGTAGTGGACAAATACTGTCCAGCCAGCCTTGAGGTAGGCATCTTTAAACCAGCAAGCCTCAGCAATGCTGCTCTTGGGCATTTCTGTGTTAATTCTCAGAGCCTTGTCAGCACCTCTGTCTCCAATAGTGCCACTTTTTGAATGGCTCCAAGCCTGTTTTCATCCATCGATAGTGTACAAGATCTGCATCTTCTGCATAGAAAGGCAATGTGCACATGCAGGGGGGTGTTACTGCCTATTTCTGGTTGCAGAGGGGATTGCTATTAATGCAAGTAGGAGCAGTTTTCTGAATCCAAACTGAAGGCCATTCTTGGAAAAAAAACAACAAACAGGCCTTTTAAATAGGAAAATGGACTTAATTTGCTTGAGTGCCTAGCAAGAAGGTGTTTAGTGTCCCAGTTAGGGAATTCCTGAGCTACTGAGTCCCCCATAGATCTATAACTCTTCATGTTCAAAAAATTCAGTTTTACTCTGTCTTCTCATTACCCACTCCTGTGAAATTATTTTGTTTTTGGCAATTAAAAAAAGTCCTCAAACATGCAAAATCTTTTATGAATCTCTGCTTAACTAGTTTGTTTTCTTTTCAAGCTAGACCTACCTTTAATGTTAATGGCATTATATAACTATCCAGAGTATCTCTAACCCAAAATTTTGTGAAGCTAATGAGGCTCTCGCCATCAGCAGCAGTGGACTTGGGAACAAGGAGTGTGCCTGACATCATATGTCTGTATCTTGTGCATTTCATTTCTTTTGGAAAGCTGAAGAGAGATTCACTGATAGTGGTCACTCACTTTAGTGAACAGTCTCCACCATTGCCAGTTCCTCAGCTTCAGGTAAGCAGCACAATTTCTTTGGATAACCTTCATTGCAGTCAGCTGTTGCTGTCTCTTGGCAAAGGCTCTGCGATTAAAAACGTAAAGCAAATTTGTTCAGTCTGAGAATACAAGGGGTCTGTGACACGCACACATTAAGCAAAGAAACTCTGGCATGAGAGTTTGCTGATTAGCCACATGGTTTGAGAAATCTGGCACAAATTATTTTGTCACTTAAACAGTGCCTATGCTTTCTTGAGGAAAGGTGTAGCTTTCTGGTATTTTATTTAGTCTTCTGTTTTTTGGCTGTTTGCACTCCATAGGTAGGCGCAAACCATAAAGTATAGATCTGAATGTAAACATCTTTCCAGAGGACATGGGCACTCAGAACTTGCATTGATCATCATTCTTGAAACCTATTATATTTAAGTTTCTTTGCTTAGCAATTTGAAAGCCTTGGTAGTGTACAGAAGAAAGGTGTTATTGTTAATAGTTTTGTGATATATGGCTGAGATCATGCTAGATGATCAGTGCTTCATGCTTCTTGCGTGTAAGAAATTATTTTGTTTTACAAATGCCACTACTATGCTGCTACTTGTAATAGTGTAGAAGAATCCAGTCATAGGCTAGGATGCTCTTGCTCCTAGTTTAAATGATGGGTCATTGCCTCAGAGAGCTTACTGTACAGAGGGTGTAAGTACCCTCACAATGTAATTGCATCCCTGTAATTATTCTAGTGAGCCTCTTCTGGACAAGAAGTGAGTCCTTCATTGGACACAAGTTGAGTTCTAATGCAATACAAATAATAGATAATAATAAAATGTCTTAATATCTTCAGTTAGTTATACAGAGATCTAAAGGCTACTGTAGGTACCCTGCTGCAGAAGACATTCTTTTTGTTAGTACATGTTCTTACTTTCTTGCTAAGTAGCCTCGGCACTGAGCCTGGAAGGCGATAATAACGTCTGTGATCTTCAGGTCTCTCTCTTCTTCCAAGTGAGCCAGAACGCCTGTTCTGAAGAATATTTTACTCTGTCCAATTCTGTACAAGTTGGGATCAAGTTCTAATGCTTTGATCTGGAGGAAAACAGGTATATTTCTTAACTCCAGTGCTGAGGTTTAAGGTATTAAAAATTTATTCTCACTTCCGTTTACTCTCAACAGCTTTTGTATAAGAAGTATAGACCTGATTATCAATAGAATCAAAAATGTTTTCCTCACCATCAGTATACAAGCCTGTTTCCCATCCATGAATCCTTTAGGAATAGCATTTGCAGCAAGAATTTCATATCTGCCAAAAGACATTGGTGTTAGGGAGGTTGAAACACATCAGATTATTTTGTACAGACAAACATGTATTACACCACTATTAAGCCCAGAGTTAGGACTGAGTGTGAGATTCCTACCGCTGGCGGAACTCCTGGAAGACAATCCTGTTGGGGAATCCCTGCCGGCAGATACGAATACCTTCCAAGACACCATTGCAGCGCAACTGCTCCAGCACTAAATGGGCATCAAGTTTACCAGCCTGAAAAGAGAAAGGAAAGTATTTTTAGCACAGTAGTAATTTACAAAAATGTTACTGGCTGTGTATCTATGTTTGAAGCCATCATTCAGCTCTGAAATGTGCTGTTACAGTGAGCAGCTCAACACGAATAATGTGCCAGGAGTCTGAAAATTGAGCATTTGAAATTTACCCTTTTTTCATGATTTGGAATGATACAGCGGACAAAGTTGGGATTGGTATTCCTTAAGGTGGTCATCAGTTTGGTCAGCTGCTCCTTATAGAGTTGGCCAACAGTACGGAACATGCCTTTCTTGGTTTTTGAAGCACTAGGGAGTGAGCTTTCAGTCATCTTGGCCATCTGGTCCAGCCCAACTATACGGTCCACTGAAAGATAAAAGAAAGTATGAATGGAACTGCTTGTATAAACTGTCCTTGCTTCACACTACGCCTGTCACTGGCGTTGTGAAACTGCAGCTTCCCAAAGAGGACCAATATATTTTTGATACAATAGAAGTATACTAACAAAGGTACTGGAAGACCCTTCTGAGCAAATAGTCGACCTCTGTCAAATGTGAAAATGAGGATCTTTGTTAACTAGTGATAGAATGGAGCAAGTGAATACACAGAATATATTTTATTTTATGTTTACTCTAAAAAGGACAACCCTGCAAAATATCCCATTAGTAGATTGGTGTCAGAACCAGGAACAGTATCTCTTGACTCCCGTCTGTTACTCAGTGGTTCTCAAAGTCTGGCTAATAATCTCCCTCAGTTATTTGATAATTCAGAGCCACCTTGCAGGTGTTTGCTTGCACATTTATGTCCATGTAGTAAATACACTGTAGTATATGTGTTACTGATACCTATAATCTTTTAAAAAACAAAGTGTTTTATATGCATGCAGACATTTTTCTGATGGAATTTAGTTGAGATTATACATCTCTGGAGAGAACTGTGCAGGACTGCTGGGAAAGGAGCGTGTAAGGTAAGTCATTCATAAACCACAACAATAACCTCTGTTAAATGAGGTCTACAGTATCACATATTCAGCAATGTTATAACAGTGTAATGAATAATTTTTATTCTCTTGCTGAATAATATTAAGTAAGGAATTTTTTATAGTGCTTAAAACTATCTAATGATGCATTCCATAAATATGTCCTTAGAACACATTATTCTTGTTTCTTAGTTCAGTCTCTTCTATGCTTATAATTTTCACACTTGTGTCCTGCCAGCAAGGGACAGCTGTCAAAAAGTTCTAGTAGAAGTTTCTCCCTTTAAACCACATTACTGGTTTAGAGTTGCAATTCATACCATCTTTCCAAAGATCTGCTACAAATTTGTCTGAAG